CACACACACACACACACACACACACACACACACACACACACACACACGTCATTCTTGAGGTTACAAAGGGACCAGCACACTGAAACATCCAGGACATTTAACACTAACTTGTCTAATCGACTGACCTGAGTACTGCAGCAAAGTGATTTCCTGAGAGTTTTGGGAGCCCAGCAGGACCTTAGTGGTCCTAGCCCCGCCCACTGCTGAGCCAGAGGAGGCGGAGTCACAAACAACATGACAAAACATGGGTGGGGACTGCATCATGTGATCCCACTTGAGCATGGGCATGCAGGGGAAACGCTCGTCCATGATGTAGGCTGAGTACTGAGAGACAGACAGATAGAGAGAGGGAGAGGGAGAGACGGGGAGAGGGAGACGGAGAGTGAGAGACAGACACAGAGAGAGACAGACACAGAGAGAGATCAACCATGTTGGGTATAACGTTAACAATGTTCTCCATCTTTGCATGTTAGCATGTTAGCTGATGAGGGGAAGATAAGTGACCAACTTTGACCAGCTGGTGGCGCTAGAGGAAATGGCCACAGGTCATTCCTCCTCTGGGGACCATGATGTCAATCCATCAAATAGTTCATAAAAAATTATATTAATATAATAAATTGATATTTCAGTTTGGACCAAAGTGGAAGACCAACCGAACGTTTTTGATTTGAATAGATGCAATTTCTGGGAGTGCACTTGATAAAATGTCCAAACCAACCCCATAACTGAAACCCTCAAAAGCATCAGCAGGCTGTTTGTCCACATCTGATATGAGATGAATACAAGAAGCACAACTCGCCCCCGTCTCTGCTCTGCTTCCATGTGCATCTTATGCTTCTGAATTCTCTGGTGATCCTCTAATCCAGTCACTGTGTTCCTGTGGCTACATGCTGCAAGTTTACTTCGATGCATTACTGTGATTGCCCTTTAATGAGTAGAGCCCTGATATATCAATGGTAATGGTGCACATCTATGATCAAGAGATTGCCTCAATATGGCAACGGCCGAGCCAACGATGCTAACAGCACCAACAGTGCTGACGGACCTAACAGTGTTTGACTTTTCTCACATGCATCCACGGTCAACAAAGAATCAAAAAAACGGAGTAAACCCTTGATGAATTGAGGGAAATGGGTTTGAAGGATTACAATCAACAATATCACAACAAAAATCTGTTTACAAACTCTCTTCAAAACTCGTGCATAATAATCCACAGGGTTCATACACATTTTGACCAATGGATTTCCATGACTTCAAACCAAATTTCCATGACCAAACATTTTGTGAAATCTCGGTGTATACATGAAAAAGTGAGAAAATGTAGTATTTAAACTAACAATGAGAATTCCAAAGCATACAGTCTACCTTAAATGACACAAACGAATGAGAGACAATAGTTTGATTAAAAGAATAAACATTTATAAATATACTCTGGTTGACAGGCATTCATAACACTGACACATCAATAAGAGCTTTAGTAGGTAGCAGCATCCAGCTAGTGCACATATTGCTTTCCCTTTGTAGTGCAAAGTTTTCATTGAACCCTGTTACTGTATGTCTTCATATTAACTTCCACTGTTACTGTACAGCCGTTAGAATTGTGGCCTATCTTCTATTTGCAATTAATATGCATTCAATCCAGTTCAATTATTTAAATGAAAATGATAATCTACTCTGGCTAAGGTAGCTTATCAAGAGTAAAATAATAGCTGTGATCTATACACTCCTCTGCATTAGCAACCCGCTGAAATGAAGGTACAGGCACCTTAACCCTCTCATTACTTCAGGGTTCTTGAGAGCAACGTGGGACTGTTGGTACACTGGCTGTGGTCATCACAGTGAACAGTGTCTGGCAGAGTAATGAGAGGACATGTGAGCCCTTGTTGCTGTAGTTCATCTCCTTGGAGCAGAGGCTGCATTTAGCATACCCTGCCTTATCAATGTATCACGTCTGTTTAGACCTCCACCGTCATCCAGGCCCAGCTCCACTCACAGCTCAGCCCTGCGTCAAGCTGCGCCACACAAACAGCCTCCTCTTCCTGAAGCTCTTTGACCTCATCATCTCATCAGTATCTGGGCCTCATGTTTCGTTATCTTAAACGTTATTATCACCACGAAATCATCCTCATTCTACTTTGAGTTAAACAAAATAACCTGCAACCAGATGTGCCGGTGTTCCGGTTTAACGTTATCGAGTGACCGCGTGAACTGAACCAGAACACGGGGGGGGGGGCTGCATGTTTCATCACGCTACGTTTTTTCCTTCTAAATCGTGATAATGACGAACGTTAACAGTCGACAAAGTTGTGCATGCTGCGGACGTTAACTTAACCCAGCAAGTATGAACGGTAACGGACATAACGTAACTCAAACTTTAACGGAGGGAAATGAAGACGCTGTACACATCTGAACGCTGATTGGCCAAGACTCGACACATCAAAGATGTTCTATTGCGAAGATCACATCACATTTTCTCCTCGTCTCACTCCAATCTGAGAAACGCTGGCTGGCAACTCGGAGCAAATGAACAACATGAAAATATGAATATAACAAATTTCCATGACTTTTCCAAAACTTTTGGGATTTTATTTTTATCCATGACTTTTCCAGGCCTGGAAATAACAATTTTAAAATTCCATGACTTTTCCAGGTTTTCCATGACCGTACGAACCCTGAATCCAAGACTTATTTATCCAGTCGTGTGCTCACTCCTTATGCGTTTAAGCCCAAAATCGTACTGAACACTTCCTCCACCACCGTGTCACGCTTGCTGCTAGTCCACGCTTTGCTTCTGCAACGCTGCCATTCGGCCATACGACCGCAGAGCAGAGCGCCGGCCGTTAGCTAAACCAGTGGGACACAACAGACGCTCACATGCATTAAAAAGGCCCGCATGGCCGGACCGGCTACGTGTGCACAGAGAAGCTCGGATTAGAACACACACAGAGGGTTCGTTCTCTGCTCCTGTAGACATTACTCAGATACATATTTACATACATAGTTGCTGCTAGAATATTGCTCTGAATTTCAAACCTTTAAATTATATTAACTGTGAAATTTGGGTTTTGAAAGCATGCTTTCCTCCTGCAGAGTTAAACCTGTGAGAACACTGACATCTAGTGGTAACAAGCAGGTACTACATAATTTCAAGATCTTTTGGATGCAGTTCCTCAAATCCAGCAGAAATATTTGATATCTTTGGAGACTTTAGTACCTCTACTAGATTTCAAACTAGGTTCTCTGGGTTTGAGCCACAGAAGCTCAAAGTGGGCGGCTCCAGCCATCTCATCAGTGAGGACACAGCCTAACTCCAGGCTGATCCCAGGCCGATCCCAAAAAAATTAAATAAAAATAAAAATAAAAAAGGTAAAGAGGCGGATTGTCGGGCCCAGGTGATGTAGCAGAGCAGATATCTAGCAGTGAGCGACCTGAGACTCCACCCACCTGTCACTAAAAGCGTCCACGCCCCTCAATTATGCCTCACTATAATTCTAACAGGCCAGTTCTAAAAACAATCAATCCTTGTTTGGATTTACCTGAGTGGTGACGAGGTGCTGGAAGGTGTGGACGTCTCCCAGATATCTGGACAGAATGAGCCTCTCCCCTCTGCGACACTCCGGGGTGTTGCCGATACGGAACAGAGTGTGACTCGAGACCGGACTCTCCTGCAGGGACACGGAAGGAAGGGGGACGGGTTAGAACCGGGTAAAGGACAGGAGTCATGACACGTGGGGGGTGAAGGAAAAGAGAGAGAGAGAGAGAGAGAGAGAGAGAGAGAGAGAGAGAGAGAGAGTGAGAGAGAGGAAGGGTGTGGGAGGAGAGAGGGAGGGAGGAAGATAAGGAGGAGATAGAGAATGAGGAAGTCATCTGGAAGAGAAGGTCCAGTTAAAAGCAGAGATGCTTTTATTTCTTTAATCCGCTGTGCGCTCTTCAGTTGTTTTCCACAAAGTGCAGAATAAATGGAGTTAAAATAAAAAATGTGTGACTCCCATATTAATTTACACGGTGCTCTTTGGGTAAAAACACACTTAACTCGTCCACACTGAAAAACATTGAGACAACTACCCCTTTCTCTCACCCGGATATCCGTCAGCTCCACCCCCGTCCTGTCTGCGTACACCATCACCCTCGGGTGGGCGGAGAACTCGCACCATCGCCACGACGACTTGGCGTTGAAGTACAGGTTGCCGTCTTCCTCCCGGACCTTCTGCATCCTGATGGTGATGAGAGTCCCTTCCATTTTAGAAATCAGACGGATTGAAAGAGATATTTATCTGCATGAAGAATGAGTAAACGCCTCCTCACCCTCTGCCGACGCTCCACAGGTTAGCCGCCCCGCTCTCGCTCGCCACCAGAACTTCACCTAGTACGTGAGGACTGACAGGACGTTACGTTAACACCTTCTCCTTAGCCTTCCCGTCTCCGACCCTCGAGGCTGCCGGCGATCACTCACCTGACGCTGACGCAGGTCGCGACCTCTCTGGTGTTGACGACCTGCAGCAGGCGAGGCTTGTCCGTTTCAGCGAACCTCCAGACTCCACACAGGCGATCGGACCGCACCGCGACGCAGCCTGCAAAGCGAAACAAACGCACACGTTGAAACGTCTGCACGCCACACTGCCGACGACGTTTCTTTACACTCGCTCGCTCTTACAGTCGTTGAACAGGGAGACGCAGCTGATCTGTCTGACGGGGCCTTTCAGCTGGAAGCTGAACAGGTCACTGCTGCCAGCGTCCACACAGGAAGAACTCCCGCTGCGGTGCTGCAGCTCCACTCTGTGGAAGTCTGAGGTGCTCGCGTTAAGAACCAGAGGCGGCAGAAAAACGCAAAGCAGGAAGAACGCCGCTTCACTTCACGTCGACCTCACCGGTCACAAAAGAGAATTCAGTCTTTGTCCTAAACTTAAAAGGTGTTTGATCTTATCTGCAGGATACTGAGGCAGTCCAGGCCCTGGTTTCCGGGGTAGAGGAGGCAGCCGCGCTGAGGGTCGCCGCCGCTCCGTGAGAAGGGGACGAAGGCCAGGGCCCCCCCCCGTGGCCCCCTCGGAGAACAGCGAGCGGTCTCTCTGCTCCGTCAGCTCCTCGTGCAGCAGAGAGCCCAGCAGCTGGGGGGGCACGGCGGGCACCACGTCCGACAGCAGGGCACTGTACACGTCCAGAGATTTGGAGGAGTACGACAGCGGGCACCTGCACAAAAGACACAACGCGTCCAAATAAGAGAAAAACACGCCGACCAGACAACCGGGGACATTCACCGATCAATCGGGTGCGCTCACATTTTAAACTTCATCATGTCGAGGTCGCTTCTCACGTTGTAGACCGACTCTCTGCCATATCTCTGCAGAAAGAAAGAAAAAACATCACACGCACATTCTGATGACAACCACGTTTACACCACAGCACCTTTTCTCCATTTTATCATCTATATTCATACTTAAATAATAGATGTTAATAATCTACCAAGGACTGATAAGTCGCTGCTTGATTAAATAACGACAGGTGAAGAAGCTCTTAACAATATAAACTGACACTTATGATGGAAATGTTTTACACGTGTTTCGTGAATTAACTTGGATTTAAATCTGAATCTATGCTTTATATATTTATACATATCCCAGAGACAGAGCGGTCAAGACAGAACTACTGGAACTCAAAGTGTCTTAATACTATTATCATCTCTTCATACTATTATCATCTCTTCATATTTCAGTCTATAAAATCAGAGCGCTACCAGAGACCTGACAATCGGTCATTATATCTGACAAGTAAACAAATACATGAATAAATAAAAAGAATAAACCATTCTTGTGAGTCTCACCTCTCTCTGTGCTTGTTCGAAGTTCTCGCTCAGAATTTCTCCCATGCACCCGAAGGCGTCCTTGCAGTGGTCCAAGAAGAAGTTCTGCATCTAAATACAAAACCTGTTCATAAACCTCAAAACATGAAACAAAAGAGGCCTACACTCACATTAACCCTTTAATGCATATCTCAGGTCTGTGGCAACCAGAGACTGCATATAAGGAGTGGACGTAGTCGTCGTGACGTCACCCATTGGTTTGTGGACTGACGTTTTGAAGCCTCGAGTTCGACATTTTGGAGAGAGAAGTAGAGTCATTTTCTCATAGACTTCTAGACAATCTGACTCCTTTTTGCAACCAGAGGAGTCGGCCCCTGATGGACAATAGAAATAATGCAAGTTTAAGGCCCTTCCTCATCGACTTCACTTTGCGAACAGGAGGTTCCTGCCTGGTAGCAACCAGAAACTAAATTACAAGTGCCGTGTCACTGAAGACCAGCGGTATGAAGCAATCTACACATGCATTTAAGGTTTTAAAAAAGATATATAGTGCACATGTCTTAAGTGTGATACGTGGGTTTGCTATGTGTTGAACTGTTGTACTCACCTGTTTTCGGAAGTCCAGCGGATTTGGAGGCTTCGAAGGCCAAAGAAAACCTGGAGAAAATGTTTACAAATACACACACACACATACAGATTACTGACGAAATATAGAACATTGCAACAGAATTTTGTGCTATCTCATCATTTCATTTGACCATCCAAATTGTCAGCATTTGAACTCCAGTTTATCATCTTTACTTAAAATGACCGAGTACAACACACATCAAATATTAAGTATAGTCTCAGACCTCCTTCAGCGCTCCAGATCTGAACTGGAGGCTGAACAGGGGCCGCTGTCTTGAGACCTCAATGGCCCCCAGTGAGGTAAAAACAAAGGACTGTCAGGGACTCACAGTTTTTAGGAGACATGAGGGGAACTGGTACCGGTTCAGTGTGACGCCACGTCTCCCCTCTGGCCTGATGTCTGGATGTAAAGGTCCAGCTGGAGAGGGGACCCGAGCCGCCCTGAAACCACAAGCGCAACCAAACGATAAGAGAGTCTGACGGTGCAGACGACACCTTCAAAGTTCTGAACCAGTCCAAAATCCCAGCAGATTTCATTCAAAAGAGGGAAACGTCACCACAGTGTAAAATCTGAGGAGTAGATAATGTTGGTGTTCATAGCAAATCTACATTTTTATAATAACCAGCGATATTTCCTGTTGATCTGTGACACTGACTAGTGGTTTCAGTGGAAATCAAATCTTCCTGTTGATCCTCAAATCACTCCCGTTTAGAGATGATGAAACTGAGGATCTAACACAACGAACTGTCTTTCAAAAAAATAATAAATACAGTTGTTTCTAGTTTGTGTGCATTACTGCAGAATGGACTACATCCGGGTTCTACAGGAGCACGTTCCCACAGACCACACCCACAGATGGTCAGTCCCAGTTTTAAGTGAATATTGAACTTTGATTCCCTCTGTGTGCGTTCTTCATCATGCAGAGCTTCATTTGTTTCTCTTCCTAGCAGACATTGGCTTCCACACGTTTAATCTGATGACAGAGTGCTTGGCTTTACATGACATATTTTATAATTATTTCTTTTGAATTTGTATTTTTTTTTTTAGCAGCTGGTGTCTGGACGTAATAATACTATTCCTCCCTTGATGTAAAACTATTGTAACATCTTGTTAACCGTCCATTGATAAAGAACGTGGGGATAGCCGAAGAAAAATACTTTTCGGTAAATGCTTTTTTTAATTATATATTTTTATATGTTTTTGAAACAAAAAGTTACAGCATCCGTTTCCCTAATGAAATACTGGTCTGTTATTGAAGTTCGTCTCCGGATGAAAAAAGCAATAGTTCATTCTTTCATACGACGCAGTTCATAATTACATATTAAGTTTGGTTTTCTCCAGTAAGAACTTATCACAAATCAGTATTATAACGTCAACATGTATTAACAGACAGTTTACATGCAAGTATTGTCACAACAGAGCCTGGCTTCTGTAGATCCGTCGTCGCTACACTTCAGAGCCATGAGCTGACAGCTGACCCACCTGAGGGAGGACTCGCTCATAGCAGCCCCAGTTTCCAGCGCCGTGTTTCAGGACCAAGTCCGGCGGTCCGCAGTTGTAAAACGAGGGGAAAAGCTGCTGTGGGAACTGGTAATCCATTGCATTTGTCATTCTGGACTCAAAACAACTGTCCGGTTTGCAAACGACGTAAGCGTCGTCGTTCCTTCCTTCACTCTCTCTCTCTCTCTCTCTCTCTCTCTCTCTGTCTGTGAACAAGCCTGCACATGCCCCCGGCTCAGCTAACGCTAGCTCCTCTGTTAGCTAGCACGAATAAAGATAAATAAAGATGGTTCTCCGCTTCCAATCGTCATGACACGCGTTCAGCGCCGTAGACGACCAGCGGTACAAGTCGAAGCAAACAGGGTAGTCCGAAAAGATACGAAACGGTGGTAGAATGATCCAAAATCCTTAGTGTATCGCCGAACACGTGCACACTGGCGGTAAGGAAACGACAGTTAAACTCGGCATGGCGGCAGCTGGGAAAAACAACAATAATACTTCCGGTCTGTCTGATTTTTTTATTTTTGTACCACCAAAATGGCAAGGAGATGAGAGAGAAACGCCTATTTTGGCAAACAACAAAGTGACAAGGTAACATGTAGGATGACTTGGCATGTAAGATAACAAAAAACAAAGTAACACGGAAATAAGTAACGTTATATCATTCAAATCGACTTTCAAAACGTTCTCACTTAGGCTTTTATTTTGAAGCCAGAAAGTGTATCAAGCGATACTTTGTAAACTTTCAAAATAAAACCAAAGCTTTGGAGAGTTAATTAATTGATGCATTCGATTGTGATCAGAATCAGAATCATGTTTGCACATGCAGTTTGCCTACCATGCAAACAGGTCGGTGGATGATGCAGTCAGTATGGGACTGCACTACATGCTGCAACACCTCGACTCCCCAGGGTCATATGCAAGGGTTCTGTTTGTGGACTTCAGCTCAGCGTTCAACACCATCATCCCAGCAATACTCCAACCCAAACTCTCCCAGCTCACTGTGCCAACCTCCACCTGCCAGTGGATCACTAACTTCCTGACTGACAGGATGCATCAGGTGAGGCTGGGAAAAATCACATCTAGCACCCGGACTATCAGCACTGGCGCCCCCCAGGGTTGTGTGCTCTCCCCACTGCTCTTCTCCCTCTACACCAACGACTGCACCTCAGAGGACCCAACGGTCAAGCTCCTGAAGTTCGCAGACGACACAACGGTCATCGGCCTCATCAGGGACGGTGATGAGTCTGCGTACAGGCGGGAGGTTGAACAGCTGGTCCTCTGGTGTAGTCAGAACAACCTGGAGCTAAACAAGCTCAAAACTGGAGATGACAGTGGACTTCAGGAGGAGCCCCCCAACACTGCCCCCCCTCACCATACACAACAACACTATGTCTGCTGTGGAGACCTTCAAGTTTCTGGGATCCACAATCTCCCAGGACCTGAAGTGGGCCTCCAACATCAACACCATCCGGAAAAAGGCACAGCAGAGGTTGTACTTCCTGCGCCAGCTCAGGAAGTTCAACCTACCTCAGGAGCTGCTGATCCTGTTTTACTCAGCCATCATCCAGTCTGTTCTCTGTTCCTCTATCACTGTGTGGTTCGGATCAGCCACCAAACAGGACAGGAACAGACTGCAACGGATTGTCAGGTCTGCAGAGAGGATCATTGGTTCCAGCCTGCCGTCCATCCTGGACTTGTTCACTTCCAGAGTCAGGAAACGGGCTGGAAAGATCTCTGCAGACCCCTCACACCCTGGACACAAGCTGTTCCAACTCCTCCCCTCTGGTAGGCGCTACAGGGCTCTGTACGCCAAAACCACCAGACACAGGAACAGCTTCTTTCCACTGGCCGTCACTCTCATGAACAATAAATAAGTTATACTGCACTATTACCACCACTTATAATTCATGCCATTGTCTATAGGTTTATGTTCACATGTATGTGTGTGTGTGTGTATATATATATATATATATATATATATACACACTTTTTCTTGAATATATATTTATACTTATATTGTATATAGCTAAATGTCTATACCTACATCCGTTCTACTTTTTTGCTGACCTTTTTTATTCTTTATATATATATTGTCTTGTTTATTGTAAATTTGTGTTTGTACATTGAGAGCGGAGTGGAAACCGGAGACAAATTCCATGTATGCTTAAAGCTGATTCTGATTCTGATTCTGATTCTGAATACAAAAATAGCTGCAGAAATGAGGGACTGAAATAGGATGATGATGATGTCCTAAGCGTGTATGTATTTATTTACTTCTACCATCACCTTTATTAATATCTATGTATTTGTATTTATTATTTTGTTTGTTCACATGCTCAATTGTTATTGATTGTTTTTGCCCGTCCAATAACTACAGCAGCCGTCTATACTTTTTTTTATCTCATGCTCATGCTCGGAGAACGAACACTGCAGGGTTTTATTTTGAAAGCATGAGACCGGATGCGGCTCTCAGTGGTCAGGTGATTAGCTGACCAAACAGATCTGTCTGTCGGTGGGACAAACGACTAAAAACTAGACGAAAAGGAGGATACTCTCCGTTTTTATTTGCCACGTGGGGAAACGTTCGTCAACAAGCTTTCCATTAGAAGGACATGTCCCAGTAGGACTTTTTGTGGTACGTATATACCGTTTTCTACGTTGTGTTTTGGTTCCGTTAGCCTTGTCGCTAACCCGGAAGTAGCGACATTGCAGGTACAGTTTAGCTGCAGCACCACATATGTCACTGCACACTTAATGTCTGATAATCAGGGGCAGTCAGATTTTTTTGTTAAAATGTCTGCAGAATTCTCTGCTGTCGACCTTCTCCCAGGTGTCAGAGACTGGTCTGCACCTGACTGTGAATTAAACGTGTCCCATTCCATCGTTACCCTCTAGACGCTGCTGCACAGCCTGCACACCTGGATGTAACGCCAAGGTTAATTATTCAAATGCAGTGCGAGAACACAAACTATTGACGTTTGGATGTAGATGCGTGTACTAATGCGTGCTGTCGATTTCTGTGAAAGGGTCACTGGTGTTATTGTGCTCGTGACAGAACAGTGACTCGTGACTCGTTGACGATATATTCGTGTCGGACTGGAGCTCCGAGTTAACGCGTTAATGTAACTGTTTGTCAAGTCCTAATAGTTGTGTAAACGGGGAGCGTTGTTTATGTCAGCCTGTTACTATAGTGTCTGTTGATATGATAATGGCATAACATGCTATTTGTTAGCATATTTGCATGCTACGTGTTTAGCATCTTTAACAATGTCTATCTAATTCAAGTGGGGGTCAAGTGTTTCTGTAAATTGTTTACAAATAATGCAAAGAAATAAATATTAAGTATGTATGTATACATATATATATATATATATGTATATGTATATATGTGTATATATATATATATATATATATATATATATATATAT